CCCACGTACCCCCCCCCCCCCCCCTCCCCCCTCCGCACATTCCGGAGCGTGTTGGCGGTGCCCGTTGGTTGCAGGCAGGCGTGCGAGAAGCGAGGACAGCAGAGGTATGGCGGACATTCTGGCGTATGTGCCGGACCTTATTGTGAGCGATTGTCTCAAGGAACAGGTGAAGGGTGAGGGCGGCGAGTGGAAGCCCAAGTTTGAGGCCTTTTGGGGCGCCGTGGTCTTCTGCGATGTCTCGGGCTTTACCAAGCTCTCCGAGCGACTGGCGGCGGCTCCGTCCAAGAAAGAGGGCGAGGGCGCAGAGCGGCTGGTCGACTTTCTCAACGACTACTTTTCGCGGCTGCTGTCGCTGGTCCGTGGGCATGGCGGCGATGTGATCAAGTTTGCCGGCGACGCGCTTTTGGCGTGCTGGCCGCAGCGCGACGGCGAGTCGCCTGCGCTCACCGTCCTGCGCGCGGTCCAAGCCTCGCTGGCGATTGAGGAGCACATGAATGTAGACGACGAGGACATGCCGTATCTACACATGGGCATTTCTGCCGGCGATCTCTTTCTGCTCCAGGTCGGTGGTACGTTCAACCGGTCCGAGTGCATTCTCTGCGGCCCGCCGCTGCTGCAGCTCTCGGATGCGGTGCCTGCTGCGTCACCCAAGTTCTCGGTCCTCTCGCCCGAGGCGTGGGCGCTGCTCCCACCAGGCTCGGTGGTCGCCGACGTGGTTTCGGTGAAAGGCGAGGTGGTCGGCGAGCCAGTGACCGCTGGCGACGACGCGAGCGCGATGCCCGAGGGTGGGCTCATGCGGGCGCGCGAGGTGCTTGAAGGCGTCGAGCCTGTGGCTGCGCACACGCACTCGATCGAAGAGCTCAACGAAGCCGGCATGGCGCTGCTGCTCCGGTTTGTGCCGGGTTCCATCAAGGCAGCCGTTGCCGAGAACCAGCAGATGTGGCTCGGCGGCTCGCGCAAGGCATCGGTCATGTTTATTCACGTCCGCGGCATCGACATGTCGGTCGGCTCGTGCCTGCCCGAGGTCCATGCTACGGTGCTTGCAGTCCAAGAGGCTGTGTACAAGTACGAGGGCTCGATCAACAAGATTCTGCTCGACGACAAGGGCTTTCTCATTCTCGCCGGCTTTGGCCTCCCGCCGCTCTCACACGAGGACGACGCGCTGCGTGCGGTGCTCTCGGGCCTCCGGGTCCAGGCCAAGATCAAGCTGCAGGGCATCGAATGCGACATCGGAATTACGACCGGCACCGTCTTTTGCGGCATTGTGGGCTCGGCCTCGCGCCGCGAGTACACCATGATGGGCGACGTGGTCAACACGGCGGCGCGGTACATGGCGTCTGCCGCCGGCGGCGTCTTTTGCGACGAGCCGACCACCGCCGAGTGCCCGCCCGAGTCGATGCAGTTTGACGAAATGGCGCCGCGGACGTTCAAGGGCAAGGCTGGCGTCTTGCGAGTCTTCCAGCCGTCGCGAAAGCGGCTGCGAATCATCAAGTCGCGCCGACCCAACAAGCTTGTCCGCTCGCTCGAGACCATGAAGCGGACCAAGGCATGCCCCCTTGTTGGTCGCCACAAAGAGTCGTCGCTCATCTCGGCCGTGCTTTCGTCGCTCAAGCGCGGCGACTACAGCAACAAGCCCGGGCCTGTGCTCATGTTTGAGGGCGAGCGCGGGATTGGCAAGTCGCGGGTGCTGGAAGAGGGCAACCGAGTGGCATCCAAGTCGCGGTTCATGGTCTACGCTGGGCGCGGCGACTCGATGGCCATCAAAACGCTCTTCCACCCATGGGCTCCGGTCTTCCGCAAGCTCCTTCGCCTCCCGCGTGAGCGCGAGAGCGACCCGGTGACCATTGCCCTACTGCGGCAGGCTGCGCTGGCCACACTGCACAAATTGCTTCCCGAGGAGCTCTACGACGCCATTCCACTGCTCAACCCGGTCGTCGACCCAATTGCCTTTGATGAGCCGGAGAACTACGCGTCGCTGAGCGACAAAGAGCGTGTCGATGCCTCGCTTCAGGTCCTCCCGCACATGTTTGAGATCCTCTGCCGAGCCCGCTCTAAGGCAGCCATTCTTATCCTGCAGGACTACCAGCTGTTTGACCCGCCGTCGCGGCTTCTATTCAACGCCATCATGAAGCGGTCGGCGCACCACTCGCTCAAGCTCGGCGCCTTTGTCTCGGCTACTCCGCTCTCGTCCGGCGCCGACGACCCGCCGCCCGAGTTCAAGATCCTAACCAGCCTCGAGTCGACCGAGATCATTCCGCTCAAGGCCCTCTCGCAGAGCGCGATCGCCAAGCTCGTCTCATCGCGGCTGGGCGTCAAGCACCTGCCCGAGGCCGTCATTGATCTTGTCATCGGCAAGTGCGGCGGCAACCCGTTCTTTGCCCAGGAGCTCGGGACGGCGCTGCTTGAGTCTGGCGTCCTCGCGCGGTCGGCTGACGGCGAGTCGATTGTGGTGGTCGACGAAGAGTCGCTCTCGCTCGACACGGCAGGTGTGTCGCTGCCTCAGGCGCTCCGCGGCGTCATCACCTCGCGCATCGACAAGCTTAAGCCAGCGCACTTGCGCCTTCTCAAGGTGGCTGCCGCTATGGGCTCCAACCTCACCGCCACGGTCCTCCACAACGTGTTCACCATTCTGGACGCCGCGGTGCCGGGCGCCAACTCGCCGTCGGTCGCCGAGCTCGAAGACGGCCTCGAGCGGCTGACTGCGCTCTCGTTCCTTACCTTTCACGACCTGACCGGTGCGTACCAGTTCAAGACCGCGCTGACGCAGGATGTTGTGTACTCGCTCATGCTCGCTTCGCAGCAGCAGGCTGTCCACGCTGCCATCGCGCAATACTATGAGCGTGTGGCCGAAGCCGACTCGGTCGCTGTTGAGGCCCTCGCCTACCACTGGCGACATGCCGACACGTCGCAGCCGGTTGTTGTCAACAAGGCCATCCGCTACCTGGAGCAGGCGGCGATGGCGTGCCTCGACCAGTCGAACCCGCGCCGAGCGCTGGCCCACCTCCAGGACGCACTCGGCCTCTACACCGAGCTGGCGCGGACAGCGGACGAATCATCGAGCGACGACGAGGTCGGGGCGAGCGGCGAGGCCCAAGCGGCGGGTGCAGATGATGATGGCGGCGGCTTTGGTGCAGCGGCTCCCAACGGCGACGCGAGCGCGATGGTCAACGATCCAGCGCTGGTGGCCACAGTCAAAGTCCTGCTTCTCCGGGTGGCATCGATGGCGTCGCTGCAGATCGGGCACCTCGCGCGGGCGCGGCGTTACGCGCTGCAGGCGCTCAACTTGCTCTGCATTGACTACAAGGAGGACGCATCGCTGGAAGATCTGATGGGGCAGGTCGATACCACCATCGAGGCTGTCAAGTCGTCGACGATGCCGGACGACGCGACGCGGTCGTCGACGACGCTCGACGAGCTGCGGTTCCACGACGAGCTCGACGCCGAGATGACGTCGTCGGGAGGCGGGTCGACGCGCAAGCGCAGGCGGACCAAGTACAGCACACTTAAGCGGACGTTCTCCGAGTTCCTGCAGGACAAAGAGCGGTTGAACTCGTCGTTCTCGGGCACCTCGACGCCTGCCTTTCTGCTCTCGTCATCGATGGAGTGGGCAGACTCGGACGACTTCAACTCGTTCACCACTCTCGACGAGTTCCGCTTCTCACTCCACGACAACGACGCCCTTTTCGGGACCGACGGCATGGACTCGACCGACGAGGGTTTTGAGTCGGCAAACGACGAGCTCGCCGCTGCGCCGTCGTCGGCCGCAAGCTCGGCCGCGGGTTCACTACGCCACCATCCAACCTCGCCTCTTGCTGCCGTCCCACCGACGCTCGCATCGGCGTCGTCGACGTCGGGATCGGAGTGCTCCAACCGCGACGGCGACGGCGTTGTCGCTCTTGACGCATCGTCGTCGTCGTCGTCGTCCGACTCGTCTGACAAGACCGGCTCTTCGAGCAGCTCGTCCAGCGACGGTGCCCAGTCAGGTTCGACCAAACTCGCCGACGTGACTGTGGAAGAAGAGCAGGCCGCCGAGCAGGCCAGCGGCGTCGGCGGCGAAGCTCAAGCGTCTGCCGGTGGCGAGGGAGCCCACGATGGCGAGGCCGAGAAGGACGAGGGAGGATGCTGTGTAGTCCAGTAGGCTACCGCGATGTCTGCTAGATTTGGGATATGAACATATACCGATGCTGTGCATACAAAATCAAGAGCGGGAGGACGAGAGCGTGTTGTGTGTGATGACGCGGATGTTTTGGTCATCGAGAGTTGGAGCTGGCCAGGTCAGGTCGGCTCGTGCGGCAAGTCGAGTCGAGGGTTGGTTCGACCGAGTCTGCCATCCATCCTCCTCCCCATCCTGGCAAGGCACGACGGGGCGACGGGCGGCAAGGGGGTCGGCGGAGAGGGGAGCCAGCACACGTCTTGGGGCCGAGGAGTTTGTGACTTGCACGTGGACAGAACAAGGTAGCCAAGAGCATGCGTGTTGTGACAGGATCAACTACGGGGGTGGTCAAGGTCCTCCAGCTGGAGAGCAAGAAGGCGCTCGGGTATGTGGCGGTGACCGGCTCGCGGTCGCCGGTGGTCTGTCTCGGATGGGGTCCGCAGCTCTCTAACGACAGCACGGTGCCGGACTCTGTGGTGGCGGGCACGGCAGACGGGACGATTTCGGTGGTGGCGGTCTCGGGCGAGAAGCCTGCCGTCTTGGTCCAGCGCCAGTGGCAGGCCACCACTCCGACCGAGAAGCCCATCTTCTGCTCAAAGCTGTCCGAGGACGGCCTGGTTCTGGTCGTTTCCACCGAGGGCCGCATCGGGGTCATGGATCTGTCGCCGGACGGGCTGCACTGCGCAGAGGCGGATGCAGGCAAGGGCAGCGGCAAGGGCAGCGGCAAGGGCAAGGGCAAGGGCAAGGGCAAGGGCAAGGGCAAAGGCAAGACCTCCAACGACGCCGATGACGACGCCGATGAGTATGTTATGTTGGCAGGCGTGCGGGTGCTGGGCCGGCCGGACCCGACGACTCGGTTTGCGTCCGTGGCCAAGGTGCGCGGGCCTGTGGGCGCGGCGGTGATGTCGCCAGAGGAGGGCGTGATGCGGATCGCGACCGGCGGGCAGAAGAACGACGTGCGGGTGACGGATCTTGCGACGGGCGAGACGGTGTGGATTGCACAGAACATGCCCAAGGACCCGCGGACGCGGATCAAGCCCGGAGTGTGGGTGACCGGCATTGCTTGGCTCCCGCGCGACCCGACGATGCTCGTGGCGTCGTCGTCGTACGGCTGGACGCGGGTGTACGATCTGGCAGCCGAGGATCGGCGTCCGGTGTGGACTGAGACCTTCCCCGAGTCGCTCAGCACGTGTACTGCCGTCGGTGGCGCGTCGTGGATTGTGCTTGTCGGCGACAAGACCGGCAACCTGTTCAAGCTCGACACCGAGGCGTCGGCGCGGCGGATGTACGGCAAGCTTCGCGGGCTGTCGGCGTCGGTGCGGAGCATTGACAGCCACAAGGGCGGCCTGCCGCTAGTCGCCTCGGGCGGCCTCGACCGTCATCTGCACGTTCACGACCTCCGCTCACGGAAGACCATCCTCAAGATTTACCACAAGTCCAAGATTGCGGCCATCCTCTTCTCGCCCGAGGGCATTGTGCGCCCAACGAAACCGACGCCGACGACGGAAGCAAGCCGTCGCGGGCGGGTGCGGCCGAAGGCGCTGCCGGCAGCGATGACGAGTACGAGTACTACTACGACGACGACGAGAACGACGCCGCCAAGACCGTCGAGGCCATCGACAGCACGCTGCGCGACGAGCACGGGAACCGGATCACCGACAATGCACTGTGGGAGGAGCTCTCATCGGCGAGCAACGACGAGTACGAGTACGAGTACGACGACGACGACGACGACGACGACGACGACGAGAGTGACAACAGCGAGGCCACGACCCGCAAGCGCGGAGCCGACGGCTCGGAGGCACCGGCCAGCAAACGCGCCAAGCACTCGTAGCTTCTGGCCAACGCAGAGCTCAGCGCGTGCTCACTCTCCCCACTTGCGCAACTTAAACCGGGCGAGCTTCTCCCCGCGGGCAGCCTGCTCACGCTCACGATCGAGGTCGCGGAGGACGCCGGCCATCGATGTGCCAGCGCCGAGAAGCGCGGCGCGTGAGGCCTCAAAGTGGGCGGCGATGCCGCGCGAGTAGAGGTGCGATGACGAGGCTTCGGCAAGCCTAGCCGCTGCGCCAGGCTCACCGCGAGTTGCCGGTGCTGCAGCGATGTGGGCGAGGTGGGCGCGGACGGCGCGATCGTCGGCATCGTCGACGCGGGCCTCGAGCTTGCGGATGTACTCGAGGTGGGCGGCCGAGCCGAACCGCAGCCGCGGTGAGGCCGATGCAGCGCGGGCACGAGAGCCAGAGGCAGGGCTCGAAGCCCGCCGCAGCACTGGCATGTCGGTGGCGCGCTTGTCGGCGGCGATGGAGGCGAGTGCGTCACGGCGGCGAAGGTAGGCAAAGGCCGGCGAGACCGGACTCGGGCGGGCCGAGGGGAATGACACGTCGACGGCGCGGGTGGGTGTGGCGAGCCCGATGGCGACCGCCCGGTTTTGTGCCGCAACCAACGAGTTGTAGCTGTGGCGAGCCGGGGCACGGGCCTGGGGCGACTGCGGAGGATTGAAGGCGAGCTCCATGGCGAGGTCCGACGGGTGGCTGGCCGTTAGCTGGCCGACCAGTGCTGGGCTGCTGGCCGTTGCCGTTGGGCCGCGGAGAATGCGGAAAAGGGACAAAAGCGAATGGTAGGGCTCGACCATTGAGGCTCGGCAATTGGCAATCAATGCCGTACTTGTAACGCTTTTCGAATCCCAAGCACGGCTGGTGCGGTGGCTGCAGGGATGCACCGGCTGCTCGCACGGAAGCCCCTGTCTGGTTCTGCGGTTGGCGATGCGGCCGCGAAGCTGAAGGCCGTCGTGGATTGGACCAGCAAAGGAGCGATGGTCAAAGTGGCTGCGATGGGTCAAAGTGGGCTCGCCAATTCGCGTGTTGGTGTAAATTGGCCTTTTGACTTTGAAATTGGCAAGTGCGGGGTATATCATGACCAGAATATGCGGAGGGTGAGCAGGGTGTGGGCATGACCAGCAAACGCACCAACATGCCACCACCACTGGTGCGGCGACTTTCGGACAAACATCGTTCTATTGCCCGTGTCGTGATCGATTGGCCAAAGAAGGGCAACCTGGGTTAGCATGGGCGGGATGGGGGGCGTTTTGTGCTTGTGCTATCTTTCCTTGACTGCAGATGTTTACTGCGCACATGTGGACGTAGCCTTCGCGTAGGTTGCCTCACTGGCAAGGCTAAATTGCCTTGGCTGCCACGCAACATCGCTCTTGGACGCGATCGCACGAAAGAGAGCAAAGAGTACCCATCGCACCACATGGCAAGATACAACAGGCAGAGAGAAGTCGCCCATATCAAAGTGGAAGCTATATAGGTACGGACAAGAAGCAGATGGCCAGGATATCTTGCCGTGACATAGAATCCCATCTGGTCGAAAATTTTCGGAAGGCCGTTCCGTAGGCGCCACCGTACGCGCAAAACGTTTGGACTGGTCAGGCGAGAGGGACGGGTAAGCATCTCTCTCGCAGCACACGGGTTCTCCTGCAAGTTCGACGAGAGAACAGGCACACAAAGCACAAACCAGGGGCTTAGCACGGCTCTCTCTGTCTGGGTGTGCAATAGCAACTTGATTACGGTCCCGTCAACGCACGCGGCGCATCTTTTCTGCCAAGGCGGGTAGGATTGACGGCCGACGACCGAGGCCCGCACCCACCATGTCCAACATGTCGAAGGCCGAGGGACGGCCTACCGGCCCAACCATGGCGGTAGAGGCGGGGCAGGGCATGTCCCCCTCGAGCCATACTGGCCTTGAGGCGTCCGCTTCTACACAGGGCAGCGTGGCCATGCCTGGGGGGGCAGAGCCCCCGAAGGTTTTTCCTGGTCTCCCGGGCAGCAACATGAACGGCGCTGGCAGGGTGACCGCCGCCCCGTACAACCTAGACGGCTCCATGCTTGCGGCCTCTGTGCCCGTTGGCATGCACCATACGCAGGGTATGCCGCAGGGAAGCCTGCCGGGAGTGGACCTGCAGCAGCAGTATGCTGGCTTGGCCGGGTCGGCGTCGGGCCAATTTGTGGGACCGTCGCCCAGTGCTTGGGCCGGCGCGCAGTCGGGCGCCGAGTCATGCCTCACCGACACGGGCTCGATTGGGCACGGCATGCATCCGAACAGCGGCGGCATGATGACCAATCAGCACGCCCTCGTCTCGCAGCAGCTGCAGGCCATGCAAAAGCAGCAGCTCGTGCAGCAGCAGCTGCAGCAGCAGCTCCGGCAGCAGCTCCAAGCCCAGCATCAGCAGCAGTACCAGCTGCAGATGCATCAGCAGCAGCAACAACAGCTGCATCGCCAGTATCAATTGCAGGCGATGGCGTCGCAGCAGGCGGCGCTCCAGACGCAGGCGGCGCAGTCGGCGCAGGCAGCGCAGGCAGCGCAGGCGGCGCAGGCGGCGCAGGCAGCGCAGGCAGCGCAGGCAGCGCAGGCGGCACAGGCAGCGCAGGCAGCGCAGGCGGCGCAAGCAGCGCAGGCGGCGCAGGCCACCGCCGCACATTCCTCAAGCCAACCTGGCCCGCTCGCTGGTCCGCAAGAGCTCGCCCAGGCCCACGCCGCGTCGCCGGGCGTCGCCAATGGAAGTGGCGCGCCCAACGCCAAGCCTTCCTCGGGTCATGCCATGCAAATGATGCAGCAGCAGGTGCCCGGCCAGGGCCCGCCTCATGGCACATCACAACAGGGCACGCTCCTGCCTCCGGCCAACCAGCTCCCGTTCTACCCTGAGACGGCGGTCAATGTGCAGTCATCGTCGCTCTTGCCGCCCTCGGGTAGTGTCAACGGTATGCCGGTCTCGCCGCAGGTCTACTCGGATATGCTGCGCGCCTCGGTCGCCATGCCCGGATGGGCGCCGGGCTCTAACGGCATGTCCTACCCGTCGAGCATGCACATGGGTTCATGGCCGTCGAACAACGTGTTTATCACCGTCCCAGACTCAAACGCCGTCCTGGCCTCGACCTCGGGCCGCGGACCGATGATGCTCCAAACCGCTCCCACTCACTCACCCAGGCACATGGCCACCCCATCGCACGCGTCGACTGGCGACGACGGCAGGGGCAGTTCATTGGGCGCATCCAAGCCCAAGAAGGGCCGCCGCGCACGCGTCCGCCTCTCTGAGGCCCAGCTGCAGCATCTCGAAGCCATGTTTGCAGAAAACCAGTACCCTTCGCAGAAGGTGTGCAAGGCCACCGCTGGCACTCTCGATCTGCCGCACCACTCGGTCACCATCTGGTTCCAAAATCGCCGCGCCAAGTACAAGCGGATGCTGCGTCAACAGCAGACCGTTCCCATCCCGACTACCTTCTCAAAGCAGCCGAACCAGTACTCTCAGCCCAACTACTCGGAGTTTGTGCGCAAGCGCAAGCGCGACGACGACCGTACCACGCCCATCGCCTCTGGGAACGGCTACTCCAAGCGCCCGAAGTCGTCCGCCGCTGACGACGCCCATTCGACCTCGGAATCGTCTGCTGTTCCTAGCGCCAACTCGTCGACTAACGACAAGTCGTCGAGCAACGATAACGCGACCGGCAGCAACAAGGCGTCTGGCAACAACCCGTCGATGTCAGCTACTGGCTCGGGCTCCTCAGCCAGCACCTCCTCCAGCACCGGCTACTCATCGTCGACGCCAACACCATCAACAGTCTCATGACTTTCATCTAAATGATTTAACATGATTGGGCGTGCCAGCCCTGAAGCTGTAGCGGGCGCGCGAGCGAATGATGGCGAGAGGCGAGAGGGAGAGTGAGAGCGACGCAGTGCGCCCGGCCGCGGAAGCGACCGCACTCGTCTCCTCCCCCCTCGGACACACACGGGTCATGTCAGACTGGCGTCGGAAGGATGAAGAGGTTATCCTCCGCAGGTAAGCCCCCCCCTCCCCTCCCCTCCCCCTCTCTCCTTTCTCCCCTCCCCCTCCTCGTCCTCCCTTGCCTGCATGCCGCGCTCAAAGGCGACTCAGCCCCTCACGGCCACTCGGATAGCCGTGCCAGTCAAGACCACCATGCAAGGCACTCTGCCTCGATGAGCCAACCATGGCATGGCCTCGACCAGTACTCACCCCCCGCCCCCCCTCTGTTACTGTTCGTCCTTTGCTATCACCAGTACCGTGCGCATGGGCAAGGAACTCGGCGAGCTCGTCCTCTCCTCGCAGCGGGTACTCTTCTTTGGCCAGCGGCGGAGCAGGCCGATCCAGATCGAGGTCCCCACCATTGTCAAACACTTTGTCTCGACGCCGTCGACGCCAGCTATCTTGCTCAAGATTGAGGTCGCTTCAGGCAAAGCGTACACCTTTGAGTTTGTGTCGGACGCGCGTGAGGCCGAGCGCGACAGGATCAAGCTCGAGCTGGCCAACATGCGCAGCGCGCTGCAGGAGCGGCTAGCGCGAGCCGAGGCTATTGGCGCGTCGGCGAGCGGGAGCGAAAATGCAGCCAACAAGGGCGCAGTCGACAAGGTCATGGCCGCTTCGTCGCGCGACACCGAGTACCGGCTCGCCCTCCTCGCCAAGGACAAGGGCCTCGCCGAGCTCCACGCCCAGCTCGTGGGCACGGACGCCATTACCGACGACGAGTTCTGGGAGTCGCGCAAAGAGCTTGTGGCTCGTGAGCGGCTCGCGCCCGAACGCCAGCACGTCGGCATGTCGACGGAGCTCCTCGCCGACGTCCGGCCCAAGGCCCAGAACTCGACTCACATCCAGTTCTCGATCACACCCGAGGTCATCCATCACATTTTCCTCGAGAACCCGCACGTCCACCTAGCCTACAAGGAACTGGTCCCGGCCAAGATGGACAAGGTCGCGTTCTGGACAAAGTACTTTAACCACTACTACCTCCACCAGAACAACGCCAACCGGGCCGGTATCATCGACAAGATCGACACTCACAACGTCCGCTTCCGCCGGCTGACCGATCCGTCGGTCGAGACTGCGTCGGCCTCTGCTGCCGTCCTGGCTCGAACCCAGCCCGAGCTCCAAAAGCGCTCGCTGCAGCTCAATGCCCTGCGCGACGACTCGGCCGTCTCGGAGTTATACGGCTACGGAACCGTGGCGGGCAGCCTCGACCCACACACCGCCTCGCAGGCGCGGTCGTCGGCGCCGGCCCGCGCAGCTGTCGTCGGCCGCACAAAGTCGACCAAGCCACGCAAGGTCCGTGAGTCCAAGTCTCTTGTCCGCCGCGTCAACCGCCACTCGATGATTGTGCTCGAGGACTCGGATGTGGTCCCGCTCACAGTCTCCAAGTCGCTCATGGCCGAGGCCGCCCGCATCCGTGAGCTCGAGGCCGAGCCCGAGCCGGAGACCATTCCACTGGAGATCATCGACACCTCGGCTTACTTTAGCACCGGCGCGTCTGCTGCGACTGGCCAGTCAGCAGGCGCTGGACCGGGAGATGCTCCTGCACCGCGGGGGCATACATTCGCGGCTCGCTGTTCAGCAAGCAGGTGGCGGCAGCCCCAGCCGGTGTCCGGACCGTGCCTGACGCCGACGCCGTGCTCGACGGAGTCATGGCCGCCTCGCGTGTCCGCCAGTCGTCCGAGGCCGACTCCCACCTTCGGATGCAGCAAATGCCAACCGGCTTTGTCGACCGCATTGTTCCGCTCGATGCCGCAGTCACCGAGCTGCTGCGGCACTTTTGGAACGCGTCGGCTAACTCGCTGCAGCCCAAGGCGTGGCCCAAGCTTGACCGCATCATGCAGGCCATGGGTGGGCTCGAGGACCGCCTCGCTGCCCTGCGCACAGGCTACGCCGTGTCCAAGCCGGCAATTTCGGCTGTCGATCACTTGCTCGCTAAGCTGACAAAGGCCAAGGCACGATTCGAGGCCGACGTCGCCAAGCGCGCAAGCATTCCAATGACGAGCAGCGGTGCCAAGAAGAAGCGAAAGCGGACCGACGGCCTCGCCTCTACCGAGCCGCTAGCCAAGCGAGTCAAGCCGCTGGCATGAGGGAAGCAGCGGCGCGGCATGTGAAGCAGTTTTTTACCGGCGGCGGAAAGCCGAGTGCATGGCAGCGCCACCAGTCTTGGTCTTGGCCACGTTGTCGGCGAGGCTGAACGGCATCCGCCCGAGTGCCGTCGAGGCGCGGATAAAGTCGGCTGGGAGCGTGCTGGTGGCAAAGAGCAGAGTGTTGACGTCGTTGAGAAGTCGCGGCTCAACCGGGGTGATGATAAACAGATCGAGACCGTCGTCTGAGATGCCACGAACAATGCCAAAGCCGAGATGGTCGGCGGCAGACGGCGAGGTGGCGAGACCGACGAGCGAGTTGAGGAGGACTTTGCCGACATGCTCTGGCGGAATATAGTGCAGAGTTGAGACAATGTGGAGGGCGCTGAGAGGGACGCGGTACGGGACAGCCTCGGCGAGCTCGGCGCCGGCTGAGCCAAAGTATCCAATCCAGCGCTCGTCGCGGCGGGCGCGGGCGTTGCGCTTGACAACGCTGCGGGCTGGAGGGATCCACCAGGTTGGCACGTCGGGCATGGTCAAGTCGTCGATACCAATCGCGTCCAGGAGGGGCGCCGGCGGGGTGACCATGCGGACAGGCCGCGACGGCACGCGGACCACCGGCGGGCCGTGGTCGGGAAACGAGACCTCACAGGGATTGGCGGTGAGATACACAACGGCGGAGGGGTGCAGGAGGCCAAGGGCAACCGATGAGATCTGGAGGCCGAGCGAAGTTGCCCAGCCGAACGAGTTGGTGACGACCGGCACGTCCGCGGCGGAAAGGCCGGCGTCGTCGAGGAGAGTGGGCAGAGCGCGGATCGCCCACTCGATGCAGCGCACGAGGTGGGTCGGGCTCTTGGACGCCGAGACAAAGCCTGCAAAGAAGGCTCGCGACGCCAGCTGAGCATGCATCTCGATACCGGCGGGGCCCAGCAGCGGGCGTCCCACCAGGGTGACTGACACTGTGCCGGGAACATTGAGCAGCGGCTGGCCGACGTCGTAGTCGACAATAGCAACAGCAGGATGGTGGGCCAAGAGCCTGTTGGTCATGAGGCTGACAAATGTCGACTTGCCGGCCCCTTGGCTGCCCATGACCAAGACCCGTGGCGGCGAGGCGTCGGCAATGACGCCGTCCATGGCCTCGCGCCAGCCGGGTAGGCAGGCGATGGGCGGGCCATGGGGATCGGCGCCCATGACGGCGGCGCTCACTCCTGCCGACGCATCCATGTCCGTCACATCGGCACGCATGAGGGTCATCATGTACGGCGGAAGCATCTCGTGCGGGACGGGTACAAAGGCGATGACGGTGGGGGCGTCCGACACAATCGAGCCGGCGACCGAGTCCGGGTCAGGCAGGTTGATGGGGAAGGCGTCAAGCCATGGATCGGGCGGCAACGGTGAGATGAGGGCCGGATCGGGCACAGCCGTCGGCTGCAGCGGGGCCGTGCCGTGGCAGGTTTGCGACCAGACGACACGCCAGCCAGAGGCAGAGGTGAGGGTAGCACCGAGGACGTCGACGGCGCCACGGAGAACAGCGACAGCAACAATATGACGGCAGACGGCAAATGGAGTGGGCGGCATGTCCGGGTTGGCAGGGTGGAGGGCGGCAAGGGTAATGGCGGTCCGGGGGCCCAGGGCATAGGTGGCGAGGTACTCGACCGGCCCGTCGCGGGTGGATGGGGCCGGGTGGTAGCCAGCCGGGGCGAGGGGCGGGCTACCCGGCACGGCTGCAGCCTCGGCGGGAGGAGGTGCGGCAGAGCCAGCCACTGGCGGCGGAGGACCTCCTGCTGTCGTCTCATCCTGGTTGATGGCGTGTGAAGCAGCTGCAGCTGTGCTACTAACGTCCAGCCCGCGGCTGCGCTTGCTGGCGGTGGTGGGATCCAGCGACGACTCGCGCCGGCGGCGTTTAAGATCGTCCATTGTGGCGAGTAGTGTTAGGCCGAACGCGGATAAAGGCAGGGCTGGTGTGATGGGTGGTCTGGGATTGGGGAGGGGGGGAGGGGGAGGGGGAGGTGGATGGCGAAGGGTGTGTCATGATGATGGACGGGGGGACGGCGATGGGGAGGCGGCAAACCACGACGACGACGAGTCTTCCGAGGTGGAGCGAGCGGATTGGGCCGAGTGGGCCGAGTGGGCCGAGGTGACCGAGAGGTTTGAGAGAGTCGACGCGCGGCGGGAGGGTGAGGGCGAGGTGAGGGGCGGTGGCGGTGGTGGTGGCGGTGGCGAGGGAGGGAGCGGCGAGAGGAGATCCAGCTCGATGGCGTTGAGGCTGAGCGAAGAGTCGCGCGAATGAGCGAGGCCGGAGTGGTCTGAGGCGGACGAATCGCCGTCGTTGGCAGTGACGGGCGACGCCGATGGCGTTGGCGACGGAAGCTCGAGCGAGAGAGCAAGCTGCGGGCGTGGCGGCGGAACACGGACGTCGGAGCGGTACTCCATAGCGCCGATGCGGTAGTTGACAATGGTACCGAGGATGGCACCAACGGCGAGGCCACCGCAAAGCGCCACCCAGTATGCGATGTTGGCCGGAAAGGCGCGATCGGCAGCCGTGACGAGCAGAGCGTGCAGGAGCAGGGCCGTGGCCAGCAGATCTGGGACCAGGAGGGGGCGAGGAGCAAAGGCGGATGCGACGAGAGCAGCAGACGATGCGCCGAGAGCCAGGGAGAGGACAGAGAGCCATCCGCGGGGCCCACAGAAGGAGAAGGGTGTAGCCGAGTAGAGGATGGAGGGAAAGGCGAGCGGATACTGTGTGGTGGCCATGGCCGCCGCTGCCGTAGCGGCCGTCATGGCCATGGCCGCCACACCAGTGGCCACCAAGCCCAGAGCCAGTCTCAGCGGCGAGTAGAGGGCAAAGACATGCGGCCGCCCAGGCTTGAGGCCGTACTCGTAGCGGGCTCCTGTGCCCACCACCACGGCAACAAAGACTGCTACTAGGCTGGCTGCCAGGGCGGAGGCCAGCATGGTGTGCGTCAGGTGGAGGGAGGGGAGGCGGTGATCAGGTCGCACGGGGAGGGGGGGAGGGAAGGGCGAGGGGAAGGGGGGGGGCTTCGCACCCGCACACTTGACTGCAGCCTAGTAGGGTGGCGAGGAGAGATGGCGGAGGACGGGTTTGCTGACTTTGGGGTCTTTCAGGAGTCCACTACGGATGCTGGGTCTGGAGAGGGTTGGGCGTGGGCAGCGGCAGGCGCAGGCGGTGGTGGCAGTGGTGCTGGCGACCAAGATGGTGCGTGGGCTGCCTCTCCTCCTGCACAGTCGGGGCATAGCTCGGCCGATGGCCAGGGGAATGGACATGCTTTTGCTGACTTTGCTCCCTTTGGGGAGTACCAGGCTGAAGCTGGTGGGGACGCTCGGGGGGACGACGCGGCGGTGCCTGTGTCGACTGCCTCGGGTGTGCCACCTGCGCCTGCTCGTCATGCGTCGGCGTCGGCAGTGTCGGGGACCGGATCGTCTGGCTTTGGAGCGTTTGAAGCTGCGCCGGGTGGTGAAGGCGAGACTGGGCCCGAGGCGTCTGCGTTTGCGGCGTTTGATGTTTCGCCGGGTGGCGAGGGCGAGACTGGGGCCGAGTCGCCTGGCTTTGGAGCGTTTGATGCTGCGCCGGGTGGCGAGGGCGAGACTGGGGCCGAGTCGCCTGCGTTTGCGGCGTTTGAAGTTGCACCGGGTGGCGAGGGCGAGACTGGGCCCGAGTCGCCTGCGTTTGCGGCGTTTGAAGTTGCACCGGGTGGCGAGGGCGAGACTGGGCCCGAGTCGCCTGCGTTTGCGGCGTTTGATGTTTCGCCGGGTGGTGAAGGCGAGACTGGGGCCGAGTCGCCTGCGTTTGCGGCGTTTGAAGTTGCACCGGGTGGCGAGGGCGAGACTGGGGCCGAGTCGCCTGCGTTTGCGGCGTTTGATGCTGCGCCAGTTGGCGAGGGCGAGACAGGGCCCGAGTCGCCTGCGTTTGCGGCGTTTGATGCTGCGCCAGCCTCTGACGCTGCTCTCGCAGTCGAGTCCGATGGAGAGACAGAGCCAAGGCGCAGAGGGCTAGATAAGCTCCCCGCACTCTCTCTTGCCCGAGCAGAGCCCACCAGTGCGTCCGTCTCACCGTCGTTTGCTGCCTTTGACGCTCCTCTGTCGGCCACCACTCCGGTTGGAGCTGTCGCGCGCTCTCCCATTTCTTGCGAAGAAGAGGCTGTGTTTGCTCCTGCTGAGGCACTTGACCCTGCCTTTCACGCGTTCCTACACCCGTCGGCTCCGGTCACGCCCGCTGTGGCCACCTCCAGCTCTGTCTTTGGCAGCGAATCAGCTGCCGAGCTCGACCAACCCCCTGTCGATGATGGAGCATCTGTTGCGTCTCTCGACAGCATTCCCAGCCAGGCCTCGCCTCTGACGGTAGACTCGTCTTGCCATGCTTTTGCTCATCCGTCTGCTCCGGTTGTTGCTGCGGATTCGGACTTGCCTAAGGGAAGCGAGTTATTACGAATGGCTGGCGAGACATCTGTGACTGACGCCGAGGGAGTGTCGGCCAACCAGGCCAGTACTGCTGCCGATTCCGAGGCGATTACTTCGAGTGGTTGTGTGTCCGATTTTGCCGAGCCTATTGACAACGGCTTTGGCGGGTTCGAGGCCAACTTTTCCTCTGCCGACTCCACCGATGCTGCGGATCCGGCCGATCCCGCGGAGCCGACCTCGGCGGAGCCTGCTTTGGGCGGTTTCGAGGCCAACTTTGACGAGCCCGCGGACGACGGCTTTGGCGGGTTCGAGGCCAACTTTTCCTCTGCCGACCCCACCGATGCTGCGGATCCGGCCGATCCCGCGGAGCCGACCTCGGCGGAGCCTGCTTTGGTCGGTTTCGAGGCCAACTTTGACGAGCCCGCGGACGACGGCTTTGGCGGGTTCGAGGCCAACTTTTCCTCTGCCGACCCCACCGATGCTGCGGATCCGGCCGATCCCGCGGAGCCGACCTCGGCGGAGCCTGCTTTGGTCGGTTTCGAGGCCAACTTTGACGAGCCCGCGGACGACGGCTTTGGCGGGTTCGAGGCCAACTTTTCCTCTGCCGACCCCACCGATGCTGCGGATCCGGCCGATCCCGCGGAGCCGACCTCGGCGGAGCCTGCTTTGGTCGGTTTCGAGGCCAACTTTGACGAGCCCGCGGACGACGGCTTTGGCGGGTTCGAGGCCAACTTTTCCTCTGCCGACCCCACCGATGCTGCGGATCCGGCCGATCCCGCGGAGCCGACCTCGGCGGAGCCTGCTTTGGTCGGTTTCGAGGCCAACTTTGACGAGCCCGCGGACGACGGCTTTGGCGGGTTCGAGGCCAACTTTTCCTCTACCGACCCCACCGATGCTGCGGACCCGGCCAATCCCGCGGACGATGGCTTTGGCGGGTTCGAGGCCAACTTTGGGCCGACGGGAGAGTCGGCCGACTTTGGCACGTTCCCAACGACATTTGAGAATCCAGCTTCCGATGCTGACGGCTTCGGCTCGTTTGAGGCGTTTGGCGAGCCGAGTGCTGCTGCGGACACCGGGTTTGGCGATTTTGCGGCTGACGCCGACTTGCCGGCTGTGACGTTTCCTGCGTTTGACACAGCGCCACAAGCCCAGCCGCCAGCCGCGAGCACCGGCGAGGATCGGCTGAACGCAGTGGAGCGTCTTGTTGAAGGCATGTTCCCGGACATGGCAGCGGGCGATGCTGTCGCGGCTACGGATACGTACAAGGAGGAGCTCACAGATGGAAGCGAGGCCGCAGAGCTGCTGGCTAAGCTGTCGGGCGAGGCGCGCGTTCGGCCGACCGGCAAGCGCATGTTTGAAGTCTCGTTCTGCTACCAGACCATGCTGGCGTCGTATCACCTTCCATCACTGGACAAAATTGCCATGCAGGCCAAGGCGCCGATGCACCACCTGACGCCGCTCAAACCGACCCGTGCCTCGTCGGACTTTTCGGTGTCGCCGCCGGCGTCGCCGGTTGCCGAGTCGGCTGGCACGTCCGGGAGCTCGGGGCGTAGCTCGCCGATGGCTGCCAAGCCTGGATCTTTCGATTCGGGCCTCTCGTCTGGAGTCTCTACACCGACAGGCGGTGTTGGATCGGCCGGCATCGAGTTTGATGTCTCCATCTTTGAGTCTGTCTCTGCTAGCAAGGTGTCAAGTCTTGAAAGCGCCGCAGCCAGCGGTTCGACTGGCGGAAGCTCATGGCTCACCGACACCCTTGCATCGTTTGGTCTTCCAGCTCCAGGCGGCGACACCACCGACAGCTTGAGCGCACCTGTGGCGCAGCCGGCGGCGACAGGCCCCGCTTCCTCTTCTGCGCTCCCGGACTGGCTGCTTGGAATGACAGGCAAGAAGCTATCCAGCGAAGCCGAGGCACTTCTGGAAGCCATTCCAGATTTGTCTTTCATGTCGTCGCAGTTCCTCTCCTTGCCGCTGGCGATGTTTGACACCTCGACGACTGTAGATGCCGCCACTGCGGTCACGCCCTTGTCCGACGTCTCTGCCCCCTCTGATCTCGCTTTGCACCTGAAAGAAGACGGTCTGTTGGGCGGTCACGCTGAGGTCGACGGTGATGCTCTTGCGACGGATCAGGATGATGCCACAACTGCCACCACCTCCACCTTTCCTTTGGCCGATCCGGCCACCGCCGCGTTCTCGGCCTTCCCTTCAGCCGACGACGCTTCGGTCTCAGACAACCCGGCGACCGCCGCGTTCTCGGCCTTCCCCCCAGCCGACGACGCTTCGGTCTCAGACAACCCGGCGACCGCCGCGTTCTCGGCCTTCCCCCCAGCCGACGACGCTTCGGTCTCAGACAACCCGGCGACCGCCGCGTTCTCGGCCTTCCCCCCAGCCGACGACGCTTCGGTCTCAGACAACCCGGCGACCGCCGCGTTCTCGGCCTTCGACGACGCTTCGGTCTCAGACAACCCGGCGACCGCCACGTTCTCGGCCTTCCCCCCAGCCGACGACGCTTCGGTCTCAGACAACCCGGCGACCGCCGCGTTCTCGGCCTTCCCCCCAGCCGACGACGCTTCGGTCTCAGACAACCCGGCGACCGCCGCGTTCTCGGCCTTCCCCCCAGCCGACGACGCTTCGGTCTCAGACAACCCGGCGACCGCCGCGTTCTCGGCCTTCCCTCCAACCGACAACACGTTCGCCGCCTTTCCCCCGACCGACGACGCATTTGCAGCGTTCCCTGCGTTCGAGTCTGCGTTTGCAGAGCCTTCGCCTGCTGCTGCTGACAATGACTACGATGAGGAAGACGTCGACGACGACGAGCGGTTCTAGTCCGTAAACTAGCCAGGGTTCAATGTGCAGAGGTGGCGGGTGGCCTGTCAGCGGCGGCCATACATCGGGGCGCCGTACGGGGCGCCTGGTACCGGGGCGCCGTAAGCGCCGCTTGTGGCGGCATACGGGTGCGGGGCGCCGTATGGAGCCCCAGGCGGCGCAGCGCCGTAACCGGGATCGGCGCCAGGATAGGGAGACATGACCGGGGGAGCCCCATAAGGCTGCCCCGGAGGCGGGCGGTACTGGCTCTGCTGCTGGTTGTTTGCATACGGCGATTGGAAGCCCGGAGCCTGGCGCAGGACGACGGTGGCCGAGCCGTTGTCATTGACCTTCCCGTGGTCGGCCTCAAACGCCTCGAGATCAAACACCGACTGCGCCGACGACGACGACGTCAGTGAGTCGACCACCAGCACGCCGTTCTCCATGTGCCGCCCAGTAGCCTCGAGGTACACCCTTTCGAGGCGCTTGCCCTTGTACATGATGTAGAAGAAGCCAAGTTTCGGGAACTCGAACAAGAGTGAGAGAAGGAACGAGAAGAGGAATGAGATGGTAAAGTCGCCCACGACCTCGCCTTGCAGCGAGACGGCAAGGACCCAGGCGAGGATGAACGAAATGACGAAAATGATGATGATGAACGGGTAGGCAAAGAACTGCCCGATGCAAGGCGTGTGATCCGATTCTGTGCATCGCAGTAGCCGCTTGTAGACCACAACGATGGGGAGGACGACAAAGACAACAAGGATGCCGCGGAGAATGAACTCGGTCGACGAAAGCGAGACAAGAATTGACGAATCGCAGGTGTCATCACCCTTCCACCGGTAGTCGTAGCAGACGAGCGACGAGCGGAGCGCGTCGTTGAGCACCTGGTCGCACTCGAGCCGGTTGTCCACCAGCGTCCGCGAGAAAATGAGCAGCCGTGAGATGAAGTCGCGAGTTGGAACAGTGGCGTTGGCCGACCGGCAATACTCCCAGCACGGACGCTCCTCGGCGACGCCGACGTTGGCCGATTGTGCCCGGGCCTTGTACTTTGTGAACGCTGCCGAGCCCGAGTCGTCGTAACGGTACGACCGCAGATCGCGGTTGTAGCCGACCAGGAATGGGATGTAGTTGGGCCCGGCCCGGTCGAGCCGCGCGTTCTCCATGGCGTCACGCGCCTGTGCACACGACGGAAACGAGGGCGTGAAGAGCGAGATAAAGCCGATGACCATAAAGTTGAGGAAGAACATGAGGGCGAGGAGCATGACCTTGCGCTTGCGATCAAGCTCGACCTGATTGGTTGGATACGGCGGCTTCTGCCAAAGCACGCCAAGAAGCGAGTGCTCGTGCTTCCAATATCTAATCAGCGTCGGCTTTCGGGGCACATCTACGCCACCCTTGCGATAGTTGCCGTCCTTGAAGCAGAGCTTGGCGCAGAGACAGAGAATGACAAAGCCGATGATGACGATGAGGCCGAGGACCACCGCCGTGGCAACCTGCGCAGACGACATACTCTCTGTTGCTTCGTCCAAAGCCTGCTCTCGCTTGCCACTTCTAGTCTTTGCGCTCTTGCGTCTAAGCCCGTCCCCCCTCTCTCTCTCTCTCTCCACTCGGTGAGGTGTCCCTGTCCCACCCCCCTAAGGCCGCTCTGCCTTGCCCACGCCCCTCTCCAGCCACCATTCCTGGAACCGATCACGATCACGACCTCTCCAAACTGCAGACAGCCGCACATCCCATCACCAACCCCCTCCCCCTCCCATCTCCCTCCTCCCCCCTCCCCCCCCATCCCCCTTCCCCCCTCCTCGTCAAACTTTATCTCATCTCCCTACATATCGACTTCCTCAACAGATCGATACACCATCATCCCATCCCATCCCCTCCCTCCCCCCCCCCCTTTCCCTGCCGCCCTCCGGCCACCCGTCCGCCCACTGCCAACCGGCAGCCAATCGACGGCGAGGCACCTCTCGCTCGTCATGTCGTCGCTGATCAACAACCCGTTCGCCGCCCTCAACATGGAGGACGACGATGCGCCCGCTTCGCCCGCTTCGCCGGTGAGCAAGCCGAAGGCTGCCAACAAGAAGGCCTCCAAGCCTGTTGTTGCTGCCGATCCGCTCAAGAAGCCCAACTTTGGCAACAAGGGTACGTCCATCATCACCAATCGCCCGCCCCCCCCCCCCCCCCCCCCCCCCCTGGCTACCTCTTTCCCTCTGCCACCGATCATTGCCGCTTTTGGGCGCTTCCTTTGCCTCTCCCCTGCTTGCGTAGCCTCTCCTGGCCCAGTTCTTGCTGCCACCACGGAGCCTACGTGCTGTCATCCCCCCCTGCTCTCTGCTCGCTTCCCCTCTGCCCCCCACTCTACCTTCCCCCGTCTCCTCCTTTGCCCGGTGTCTCGGCCTCGGCGCGACCTGCTCTGCTCTGTGAGACATTTTCGGATTGTTGGTTCTGTCGCTGCTCCCCGTCGGTGGGTCGCTGCTGGCCCGCATGCTCGCCTGCTGTGCAGAGCTGGTTACCACACTGCTGGCACCCTTGCAGGTAGTACTGGATATCTGCTACATCAACCCATCTGCCGTTCTTCAGATGCAATCTGGCCTGCCTGCCTTTAGTCCGCACTGGCCGTGCTCGTCGGCCGGGGCCAGGCCAAGCCGCGGTCATTATTTTTGTCTGCGTCGAGCGGGCGGGGCTTGCGGGTGGCCTGGTCGGCGATGGCAGGCCGAGGCGCTGGCGATGGAGAGGGCGATGGGCGAGGATAGTTGCTAGTCACAAGGCGCACAGAGAAGACTCGCAATGGAGGGAGAGACTCACAGGATGGATGGTTTTGGGGTGTGGCAGCTGCCAAGAAGTCGGGCGGCAACGCCAAGAAGTCGGGCCGTGGTCGCGCCAAGGACCACCACGCGACCGGCAAGTCGTACGCCAACCAGTCGTCGCGCTCGGGCGCGCGCAAGGGCGGTACCTCGGGTGCCCACAACTGGGGCGACATCCCGGACGTTGAGGGCAAGCCCGCGTCGTCGGTGGCCGATGAGGGCGCCGACGTGGCTGCTGCTGACTACGCCAACAACGGCGAGCCTGCTGCCGAGGAGTCGGACGAGGAGGAGGGCATGACCCTCGAGGAGTACGAGGCCCAGCAGGCTGCGATCCGCGTCGCCGCCGCGCGCCCGACCCGCCGCGCCAACGAGGGCTCGGAGAAGAAGGAGTGGGGCCAGTACAAGCGCCTCACCACCAAGACCAAGGGCAAAAAGGTGCAGCAGAACTTCTCCGCCCGCGATGGTGGCCGCGCTGCCAAGGGCAACGCCAACGAGCTCCTCAACGTTCGCGTGGTCGACAAGGCCTTCTCCGGCGAGCGCCGCGGTGGCCGCGGCGGCCGCGGTGGCCGCGGTGGCCGCGGTGGCCGCGGTGGCCGTGGCGGCAACAACAACAACAACCGTCGCGGCGGCTCGCGCCTCCCCAACGTCAACGACGACAAGGCCTTCCCGGCCCTCGGCGCCAACTGATTGCTGCTGCCACCCCTATCCCCGATCAGAGACGGAGGTCGATTTCCTTGGATCCCTCCTCCACGGGTAGCAAAATGAGAACATGATGATGGTGTCTGAGCGAAGACAAGCCTGAGGGTAGTGACGTCAACGTGTCAACGTGTGTGTGTGTGTGTCTATGTGTGTTAGTGTGTTTGTCAGTGTGTGTGTGTGTTCGTGGTGTCATCGATCGACCCTTGGAGCGAGCCGTCCCCCCCCCGCAAGGCTGCTGCACGCACGGGCACGCTGTCGCAGTCCAACCCCCGCCCCCTTCCCCCCGCCCACCCACCGCACTACCCCCCCCCCCTCTCCCCCCTCCACCCATGCTTCCGTCTACGCATACGCACCCCTGTCCCCTTGCCCTGTCTGTTCTCGTCCTCGCCACTCTTGCCGCTTCCACTCTCGCCCTTGGCTCTGGTGCCCCGCCGGCCTTTGTGCATGTCAGGCAGGCCGATGCAGCCCTGGTCGACGGGCAGAACCGGACACGGATCTTCCACGGAGTCAACGCCGTGATGAAGATCTTCCCGTGGGTGCCCAACGTCGAGGTCTTTACCCTCGATGACTCTCTCGCCGAGGAGGATTGGCTCCGGCTCGCCGACTGGGGCTTCACCGCTGTCCGGCTCGGCACCATGTGGCCGGGCCTCGAGTGGGAGCGTGGCGTGTACAACACCACCTACCTCGATGTGCTGGAGGAGATCGTCAACGGCCTCGGAAAGCATGGCATCTTCACCTTGCTCGACGCCCACGCCGATTTGTTCAATCGCAACTTTTGTGGCGAGTTTGCGCCCGACTGGGCCGTCGCTACCGACGGCGACTTTCTGCCCTTCCCACAGCCGATTGCCGCGTCGATCAAGCGCAACGCATCGACAGGCTATCCCGAGCTCGACGACTGCCTTTCGCGCCCGTTTTTCGAGTACTACTTTACCCACGCCGTCTCGTACGCCTACCAGGGCCTCTACGACAACCACAACGGGACGCTCGACTCGTTTGTGGCCTTTGGCACGCGGTCGCCACAAAGTTCAAGGACAACCCTTACGTGCTCGGCTACGAGCTGCTCAACGAGCCGTGGGCCGGCGACATCTACGCCGATCCCGAGCTACTCGAGTTTGGCGTCGCCGGCCGCAAGAACCTCGCGCCGATGTACGAGAAGATCAACGCAGCCATTCGCAGTGTCGACGACGAGCATTTGGTCTTCTACGAGGACGCGGTCTCCAACCAGGGCCACGCCGGCTTTGACGCGCCACCCGGTGGCGCCGCCTACGCCAATCGCTCGGTCTACTCGTACCACATCTACTGCGCGCCGACCGACAAGTCTGGCGACCCGACCCATGTTGTCGAGTGCAACCTCGTCGACGACTACTTTGAGAACGTCAAGATGGCCGACGTGACCCGCCTTGGCGGCGGTGGCTACCTCACCGAGATGGGCGCCATGCTCGAGTCACCGGCCGCTGCCGACGCCCTCAACCACCTGCTTGATCTGTGCGACGCCAACCTACAGTCGTTCAACTACTGGCAGTACAAACCGTATCACGATCTCACCACGGCCTCGCAGCCGTTCGACGAGTCGTTCTACTACCCGAATGGCACGCTCCAGGCCAACAAGATCAAGGTCCTCTCGCGGACGTACGCGTACGCCACCGCCGGCGTCCCGCGCGACATGATGTTTGATGCCGAGACCGGGGCCTTCAAGTTTGTGTGGGACTCGTGGGGCCACACCATCGGCCTTCCCACCTCGATCTACCTCAACGAGGCCATGTGGTACCCGCACGGCTACTCTGTCACTTTCATCCCGCGCGATGGCGCCTCGTACTCGTCGCCGACCCGCAACCATCTCGACATTGTCCCTGCTTCCACCTTTCCCGACAGCTCCACGCTGACGGTCGTCATTACTCCCAATGATTCCCAAGTGCTGGCGTGAGACCAGCCGCGATCTCACTAGCCAGTGCCTTTTGACAAAGCGGCGATGGGCGTCATTGAATAGACCCAATGTCTCACACCGTGGCCGATGGTCAAGGAACAGCCGAGGGAGAGGGTGCGTGGGTAGTGAGGGTGCGTGCCAAAGGCGGCGATGGGTGGCCAAATCGGGTCACACTCGTCTGCAATCATGTCGTTCAATCGGGAGGGAACGGCGTTTGCCACCACCTCTACCGACTCCCGGATCCGGGTGTGGGACACCCGGTCCGGCGAGCTGCTGCACGTTCTCACCGACGCAGACCATCTTTCCACCAACTACACATGCTTGACCTGGCTCGATGTTCCGGCTAGCTTTGGCCTTGGTCCCAAGGTACGCCTCTAGCTCCCCCCCCCCCCCCCCCCTCCCTGGTCTCGGGCCATCCTCCGAGGATGACCTGCCGGTGACGGCAGTGGTGACTGTGGCCGCGACTGCGGCACAGGCTATAGGCAGAGTGCAGGTAGCTATCAAAGGGAAAGCCAGAGAGGACATGCGGGTATTATGGGGCATATGCATGAATGCGCGTGGGGGCATGGGGCTCGTGTGTGTGGCGGTAGGACCCTGTCGAGTGCCGGGTGTGGGGCCGGTGCCGCAGGCCCCCCCATCCAGCGGGGCATCCCACCGACTCACGGAGAGCGACGGTGTCGGCGGTGGGTTACATGGGCATGGCTTGTAGAAGACGAGCAAGCGGAAGCGTGGAGGAAGCAAGTCAAAGGAGAGTGAGGGAGAGGGCGGTGAGGAGACGCGGGCGGTGCTTGCGGTCGGAACGCGCAAGGGCACGCTGCTGGTGTGGGACGTGGCGACGGAGAAGATCATCTCGCGGGCTGGGAGCCGTGGCGGGCACTCTGCGGCGCTGCGTGCGCTGGTGGCCCGACCGGACGGCCTGTTCTCGGCCGGATCTGACGGGCAGGTGCTGTTCTGGTCGTGGAAGACGCTGACGTCCGATGCGACGCCGGTTATTGTGGCTGATGGCACCATCCTCGGCGCCTTCTCGGCCGCCACCTTCCACACCATCTCTGCTCTGGCGGCGTCGGAGAGCGGCTCGCGACTTGCGGTTGCTGCCAACTCGATCTGCGTCCTCGACGTGTCTGATCTGGACAACGTGACGTGTGTGGCCACGCTGACGGGCCACGCTTCGCTCGTCTCGTCGCTCGCCTTTTCGGCCGACGGCGCCATCCTTATCTCGGCCGCCCTCCATGACCGGTTCATCAACGTGTACGACCTGTCGTCGACGTCGCGCGACACGGTGTTCTCGCCGGACGCCGCGCGCATCCTCGTCACCGAGTCGCAGCCGCTCGGCCTCGTCACCTACGCCACCGATGCGCCGAGCTCGGGTAAGTCGTCCAAGAAGAGCCGCAAGTCGGCGTCCGAGCCCGGAGCGGTCCACGTTGCCGCCTTTACCGCGTCGGGCGAGGCTGCCATCTGGAGCGACGTCATGGCCACCGTCGACGCTGGCGGCAAGAAGAAGAAGTCGCGCAAGGCTGCAGCGCGCGGCATCAAGCCGCGGGCGCCGGCCTGCCTTGTGGCCGAGGAGCCGACCGACGACAACGGGTTTGTCGGGCGCGGCATTCGCGCGCTCCGGCCCACTACCGCGCACGCCTTCCTTGCCATGCACGGGCCGACCAAGAACCCGTCGTTCACGGCGATCAAGGCCGCGGGCACCGACGGCAGCGTGCTCGAGTCGGTCACCATTGCTGCGCCTGCGGCGGCGAGCCAGCACCCGTTCGGCGGTCCGGGCACGTCGGCAGGCGCCAGCGCCGTGGGCGTGCCGTCCAAGGCCAAGGGCACCAATGCCAAGGTGCTGTCGGCTGCTGACGCCATGGCGCCGCGGGCGGGCGAGGCGCCGATGGCCATGTCCTTGGCCGCCGGTGGCTTTGACTCGCTCTCGGACGGCGAGGACGACGGCGAGGAGAACAAGAACCTCGGCGGCCTCTCATTTGCAGAGCGGCTCAAGGCCATCAACGGCTCGTCGGGCGGGCGCCAGAAGAACGGCCGCCGATCCCGCGCGTCGGGCGATGGCTCGGCATCGCCGGCCTCGGACGATGGTACCGTCGGCGTCCCGCGCGGCGAGTCACTCAAGCGCATGCTGGTCCAGGCCCTGCACTCGGGCGACAACCAGCTGCTTGAGTACTGCCTCGGCATGTCCACCCATGGCACCATCATGGCCACCGTCCGCCAGTTGCCGACTGCCCGCATTGTCGCCCTCCTCAAGATTCTCACCGACAAGCTGCGCTCGCGCCCGGCCCGCGGTACCCGCCTCGTTCCCTGGATCCGAGCCATTCTTGTCACCCACACTGCCTTCCTCCTCTCGGTTCCCGGCCTCTCCGCCATGCTCACCCCGCTCTACCAGACCTTTGAGGAGCGCCTGGCCGTCTACGACAAGCTGATGAAGCTTAACGGCCGCCTTGACCTCGTCCTCTCGCAGGTCTCCGCCGACGACGCTGCACCCGGCCGCACCTCGGTCCGTGCCCGCCCACGCACCCTTTACATCGAGGGCAATGACGACACCGACCTCCTCGGCTCCGACTCGGACTCGTCCGACTCGTCCGACCCATCCGACTCGGACTCGGATCTCTCCGACTCGGACTCGGGCTCGGCTTCGATGTCCGAGTAAGTACATTTTCAGTGCTGCCTAGCAAGAAGAGAGAGAGAAAGAGTGTGTTTGTGAGTGTGTGTGGAGAAGGAGGAGGAAGAGGAGAGATGAGGATCCCTCCCCCCCCCCCTCGTAGCTGTAGGTCGATATAGCGGGCGTCACCCATTGATCACGGCAGTAGCACAGCCACCACAGCCACCACCACCACCTCACTCCACCCCTCGTCTTCATCCACCCCCACCCACGTGCCCACCCACCCACCACCATGGCGGGTAACTTCTGGGCATCCTCTCAGCGCGACGTATGGCTGCTCGAGACGGCCAGCGAGGCTGACCTTGGGGTGGGCGACTCGCTCGACGCCACCGTCGCCACCCTGCTGGGCATCTACTTTCCGCAGAGTACGCAGATGGCGTACTAAAGCCACCACACCATCCACACTGTCCACATTCACCAATGGCGGCAGACTCACTGCAAAGAGGGAGGGAGGGGACAGAGATCCAGGAGCTCGGCAAGCGGCTGCATCTGCCGCAGGTCGTCATCGCTACGGCCATTGTGTACTTTAAGCGGTTCTACACGCGGCACACGCTCGAGACCGTCTCGCCGTTTACCATGCTCGCCGCGGCGGTGTTTGTGGCGTGCAAGGTCGACGAGTGCCCGCAGAAGCTCGCGTCGCTGGTCAAGCAGGTGACCGAGATCCTCAAGTCGTCGTTCCCCAGGGTCACGGTCACGGCCGAGGACGTGGCGACGACCGAGATCTCGCTGCTTGCCACGCTCGAGTACTCACTGGTTGTTTTTCATCCGTACACCGCCCTCAAGGACTACGTCGCCGACGCAGGACTCGCTGACGAGCTCCTGGAGACGGCATGGTACATTGTCAACGACTCGTACTGCACCGCAGTCTTTCTCTACTTTCCGCCGTACCTCATCGCCCTGGCTGCCATCTACATGGCTGGCGCCATCAACCGGGCCGAGTCGAGCAACTCCATCTCTGTCGCCGAGTGGTTCGGCTCGATGATGGTCGACATGGCCGAGGTCCACACTGTTGCCGCTCACCTGGTCACCCTCTACGACACATGGTCGCTCCCGACCTACGACGCTGACCTTCAGCGCGCCAAGCAGCGCATCGACGCTATATATCGGGTACCGTAGCGGAGGAACGACCGAAATTGCCACCATGCGATGATGATGACGACGACAACGATGTTGCATCATCCGTTTCCAGATGGACATGTCGGCCGACGCCCGCGCGTGTATGTATATGTATGCACGATTGTACTATCCGAACTGTCCATCCCCCTGCTCCTCCCCCTCTCCTGCTCCTCCCCCTCTCCTGCTCCTCCCCCCTCCCCCCCGCAACCAACCGGCCACCACCAACCGGCCACTACCAACCGGCGACCGGCAACTAGACACACTTCGCTCGTCGTCGACCATGAATTTGGCCGAGGAAAATGCAAAGCTGAAGCAGGCGTGCCACGGCCTCCTTCAGGAGAAGGCCACCCTTGCAGCCGGACTCAAGGTACGTGCTCCACAGCAGACCTTACACCCACCCGACACATGTCCCCCCCCCCTGCCAAACACGTCTGGCCCTGGTTGGTGTGTCGAGGCCGAGCGGTGGGCCAAGGAAAATGGGTGCTCTAGCGATCGGCGGCGTTCTCCAACCAAAAGCTGCCTTGCCGTCAACAGAGGCTGCCAACTTGGACAGGCGAGGCGAGGCAGGGTGTGAAGGAGAGATGGAGTGAGAGAGGGGATGTACATGGGAGGTTGTTGTACATGGGTGTATGTGTCCTCTCTCTCTCTTTCTGTGTGCTCTGTGTGTCACTCATGTATGGGTGGGCGTGGCGGTGGCGGTGTGGCGGGTTGGCAACAGCAAAAGTTGGCGGCGCTCATTTCGCAGAAGAACGCGTTCCTCAAGAAGGCCGAGGAGCTGCAGCAGCAGAACGAAAAAGTGATGCAGGCGATTCAGCGCAAGTCAATGGGTGCGCGGAAGCAGCTTCCGCCGGTGGTGATGCAGCGGGCGGCGATGGTGCAGGGCTCGCCTGAGGAGCTGCGGCAGCGGATCGGGCAGCTCGAGTCTGAGAAGAAGCTCATCCACGCCAAGATCAAGGGCAAGCTGCAGCAGCTTGTGACGGAAAAGTACGAGTTGACTGGGCGGCTGAAGCACCTTGAGCAGTCGCAGGTCAACCCGCTCGAGCTGCAGCAGCTCCGGCAGCAGCTTGCGATGCTGATGAACGAGAAGATCAACCTCTCGCAGAAGAACGCGTCGCAGAACGCGGCGCTGCAGAACGCGCAGATGTGGCTGGCGCAAAACAAGCAGCTCCAGCAGCAGCTGGACCGGATGAAGAAGGAGAACGACACAACGCTGGTCAAGATCGAGGCTGTGCGCGGCGAGTACGGGGCCAAGGTGGCCGAGTCGCGGGCGAGCAAGGCGATGCTTGACGAGATGCAGGCGACGCACGCCAAGTACGAGGCGTTTCTTGCCGAGGAGCGCGCGTCGCAGCGCAATGCGGCGGCGTGGATGAAGCAGAACGAGCACCTGCGGCAGAAGATCACCAAGCTGACGAACCTCAACAAGATTCTTGCGGCCAAGGTGTCTGACGCGCAGGCGTCGGCCGAAGGCAACGAGGCTGCAGCGACGTCCGAGTCAACCGAGCTCACCAAGCAGTGTGCGGCGAACCAGAAGACCAACGCTCAGCTCGTCGAGGCCATCCAGCTCATCAAGGCCGAGACGACGCGGCTCGACGAGTCGGTTCCTGTCCACGAGAGCGAGAAGGCGAACCTCATTGCCGAGGTCACCGGCCTGCAGATGCAGATCCGGCAGCTCAACCGGCGGTCGGAGGAGCGGGCCAAAAAGTCCGACAAGACGCGGAAGGAGGTGCTGGAAATCCAGATGGAGCGGTCAGACCTCATTCTGCAGGTGGAGGAGCTCAACGCCGAGCTCAAAAAGGTGGAGGAGTGGGATCGCCAGAACGACGAGCTGCGGTACGCGCTGCAGGAGTCGCTCGACGAGAACGAGCGGCTGGTGGAGCGGCTGGAGCGGCTGGAGGCCGAGGAGACGTCGGACAACGGCGTTGAGTCGGACCTGGACAACATTGCAGCCGAGTTGATGCGCAATGACGGCGGGTCGATGTCGGGCTCGGCCGGGACGGCTACAGCCGGCGGCGGCGGCGAGTCGACAACTGACGACGCCGGCCCGTCTTCGCTCGACTCGGCGGAGCGCAAGCGCCTGGCGCGCGAGTCGCGGCGCAAGGACACGCTTGGCCGGCTCGAGAAGCGGCTCTCATCGCTCTCCATGCTCTCGGAGGCCAAGGAGAAGGACTCATCTAAGAAGGAGCGGCTCAAGAACACGTACCATACGCTCAAGCGCGAGCACGCGCCCGAGGACCTGCAGAAGCGGATCAAGGAGGAGGCCGAGAAGCAGGTCGACGCCAAGAACACGGTCCCACAGTCGGAGCGAACGTACAAGGACGGCGACGACACCAGCGACATCAAGTTTGTCCACGACGACGACGCGAACAACGCCTCGCGCTACCCGCAGATCAAGGCGGCGACGATCGAGAAGCTCGTCGAGCGGCTGACGTACGAAAAGTTCCCCGACACCGAGTACGTGCAGGCGTTCATGCTCACGTACCGGTCGTTCACCACGCCGCTTGATCTTCTTGAGCTCATCATTCAGCGCTACTGCATCACGCCGCGCGAGGGCCTCTCGCCAGAGGAGCTCAAAGAGTTCAAGTCAAAGAAGCAGATCCCGATCCGCCTCCGGGTCTTCAACGTTCTCCGTGGGTGGATCAACGACTACTTTTACGACTTTCGGTCGGACCAGCTGCTGGTCGACACGGTCATGGACTTTGTCGAGAACACCATGCCGGCGACCGGCATGGAGCGACCGTCCAAGTCGCTCAAGAAGGCTCTCCTCCGCAAGCTGCAGGAGGCCGAGGAGCAGCGGACGATCAACATGGACCTCGAGTCGGTCCCGCCCGTCCGGCCCAAGGACCGCCTCTCGACCTTTGCAAAGTCGGCAGACTGCAAGGCCATGGCCCGGGTCATCACCCGCATCGAGGCTGCCATCTACAAGAACATCGAGCCGCGCGAGTGCTTTGGCCTCGCTTGGTCCAAGAAGAACAAGGAGCGCGACTCGCCCAACATCCTCAAGCTCGTCCGCCGCTTTAACGAGACTTCCAACTGGGTCCAGTGGGAGATCCTGCAGGGTGCGCCGGCCGGCAAGCACTCGGAGCGCGCCAAGATCATGAAGAAGATGATCAAGCTCGCCAAGGAGCTCCGCGCCCTCAACAACTTTAACGGGTGCATGGAGGTCATCGCCGGCCTCCAGTCGTCCGCTGTCTACCGCCTCAAGAACGCTTGGGCGCGCGTCGACTCGAAGACCATCGAGCTGTACGAGAAGCTCAAGGACGTGCTCTCGTCGTCGGGCAACTACAAGAAGATGCGTAACTCGATCCATATGGCCAACCCGCCGTGCATCCCCTACCTCGGCATGTACCTCACGGATCTGACCTTTATCGAGGACGGTAACTCGGACACCATCGATGGCCTGCTCAACTTTGTCAAGCGCCGCTACTACGCCAACGTCCTGCAGGAGATCCAGCGCTACCAGCAGATGGGCTACTCGCTCGAGCCCGACCACCCGCACCAGGAGTACCTCGAGCGCTGCATGGCCCGCGCTCAGGCCGAGATCCCCGAGGAGAACGTCGCCTACGAGCTCTCGCTCACCATGGAGCCGCGTGGCTCCAACTAAAATCTTCTCGCAGGCTTTGTGTCTTGTGTGCCGTGCCGTCTTCAGCCCATGGGCGGGGCGGCGGGCGGTAGAGCCAATGCCAGTCGGCGGGCGAGTCGGCGGGCGAGAAAGTTGGCAACTCAACTCTCCTGCCAGTCGGGCCCAGCATGCCGCACAAGCCGTCCGAATGGAAGTCAGCCGACGAGCCGACGCGCAAGGCTCTGGACATGCTCCACCAGTGCTCCAAGCGCATGAATAGCATGCATTCTGCCGTCCAGAAGCTCATGGCAGACCTGCTGGCTCAGTCGAAAAAAAGCGCCGCCACCGCCGCAGCGCAGCCTCGCCGCCGGTCGGCTGGCCGGGCGTCGAAGCCGGTCGCCATGGAGCTCTCTGCCTCGGCGTCGGGAGACAAGTCGGGAAGCAAGCCGGGTTCGGGCTCGGGTTCGGGTTCGGGCTCGGGCTCGGGCTCGGACTCTGCTGGCGACGGCTCGGGCTCGGGCTCGGACTCGGCGTTTGAGGCGCCGGCCGCCACGCCCAAGCAGAAGAGGCAGAAGCCGGTGGCGCCGCCGTCGACGGGCGGGCGCCGTGGGCGGTTCAACCGCGACGAGATCCGGGCGCTGATTGGCGCGCTCAACGAGCACGGCATAGGCGATGTCGAGCTTGTGGCCCAGGCCGTGCCTGGCCGCTCGCTCACCGCCGTCCGCAACAAGATCGCCGCCTTTGCCACAATTGACGCACGTGAGAAGGAGCTGGCTCGTATTGACGGCATCGAGGCGGCGCAGGCAGCCAGACAGAAGAAGCTGACTGAGCAGGCCGAGAAGAAGGCGGCCAAGAAGGCGCAGGCTGCGGCCAAGGCTGCGGCCAAGGCCGAGGCCAAGAAGGCCAAGGCCGAGGCCAAGAAGGCTGCGGCCGAGGCCAAGGCCAAGGCCAAGGCCGAGGCCGAGGCCGCCGCCGCCGAGGAGGCCGCCGCTGCCCGGGAGGACCTGTCCAAGGCCGCCGCTGAAGCGCGCCGCAAGGTCGAGGCGCTCCACGAGGAGGCCAAGGCCGCGTCGCTGCGGGCGGCCGCAGCGGCTGCGGCTGCGGCCGCACACGCATCGCTCTCGGCGTCGGCTTCGGCATCGGACAACGACAGCGAGACCGGGACTGCCAACAGCTTCCGCGGTGGCACCGCTGCCGACGACGACGGCTCCAGCTCGGGCTCGAGCTCGGGCGGTGCGGCGGTTGGTCGGACGATGGCCAAGACGCCCGGGCCCAAGGCCGCGCATATCAAGCGCGACCTGATGGCCGCGGCCCAGTCGACAACCAAGAAGCACGCCAAGACCAAGAAGACCAAGAAGGACAAGAACAAGTCCAAGAAGAAGAAGAACAAAAACAAATCCAAGAACAAGTCCAAGAAGAAGTCCAAGAAGAAGTCCAAGAAGAAGTCCAAGAGCAAGAAGAAGCGCAAGGCGCCCGAGGACGCAGACGGTGGCGCCATGGATACGCCGTCGGCCAAGCGTGCCAAGGGTTTCCGCCACTAGCCCGCCCCGCTGACCCCCGTCGCCTCTCGCCTCCCGCCTTAAATGATCCGGTGTATCAGCCTCCGCCCCATCCTTTATTCTCCCGCCTGTCTCCCGTCAGCTCTGGTTCGATGCCGCCAGCCGCGCTCGTCTTGCGGCCTGCTCCTCCGCCAGCCTAGCGGCCCTCGAGTCGAGATCGAGCTGGCGCTGGCTGTTGCCGATGGCGCTGGCTCCATCCAAGGAGGCTGGTTCCAGCGGAGTCCGGGGCCCTGGACGAGGAGGACGAGCGGCGATCCGTGCAGTGGCCTGGACGTCGTGGGCCTCGGCGAGCTCGGCCTTGAGGGCGGCATTCTCGGCTTGGGCGCGGCCGAGGCCAACTTTGAGCTTGGCGACGGATGCGGCCGACTCTTGCAGCGCCTCCGAAGCAGCGGCAAGAGCAGCACGCATAGAGGCGGCCTCGTTGCGCAGCTCCTCGACCTGGGTCTCTGCCTTGTCGCGGGAGGCGGCGGCTTGCTCGTACATGGCCTTCCACCGGGCGCAGGCGTCGGCGGCGTCGGTAGCCTGAGCGAGGGCCTGCTGGTAGGCGTCTGTGGAGACACTGTTGCGTTCAGCCTCCCATGCCGCGTGCGCCAGGCGGGCTATCTCCTCCTGTGCCCGCTGCAGCAGCCGTCCGTGCCCCGCCGCCTCGCTCGCCGCCTCGGCCACCGCCTCGAACCGCGCCTGCAGCGCATCGAGATCGTTATCGCGCGCCCGGGCAGCCGCCACCAGCTCGACCACCGCATCCGCCAGCCAGCCCTCGTCGGCCGCATCCTCGCTCCCTGGCCTGGCTCTTGTTCTGCCCACGGCCGCTGTGTCTCGGATTCGTGGGCTTGCCATGGCGGGCAGAGTCCGGCTCTCGACGGGCGTCAGTCGCCTGCGTCGGGTGTCTGTCTCTGCCTCTGCCTCTGCCTCTGCCTGGCATCGAGCGGACCTGTCGCTCTGACACGACTTGAGTACCAATGGCACAGTGATCAGTTGGCATCGCTGTTCACTGTTGGTCATGACGGTTCTCTGATGCCTGCCATCCCCATCACCCTGCTGATCGACTTGATGATAGCCATCACCTTGAAGAACAGCATCATGCTGATCACCATGATAGACAACATGGACACCGATCATGGACAACGTGACGACCATATCCCCCCCATCACTACCACTATCCCCCCCCCCCCCCCC